CYTTGTGTGGCTGGTGTCACAYGGTGTTTTACTAACTGTGATATTCATTATTGCTTGTCATAATGTGACCATAAACTTTTTCTGGTATYTCATGTGTGCAGTTCCTGCCATCACCAGAAATGGGCAGCAAGCAAATCTGTGCTCAGTTCATGCTTAGTCACCTGTGGGTTTGCTGTAAATTTRTTTAGAAAGTGGMCCTGTGGGGATYRGTCTCTTCTCCCAKGTAACAAGGGACAGGACGAAAGGAAATGGCCAAGTTGTRCYAAGGGATGTTTAGATTGGATATTAGGAAAAGTTTCTTCACTTGAAGGGTGRTCAGGCATTGGAACAGGCAGCTCAGGGAAGTGGTGGRATCACCATCCCTCAAAGTGTTAAAAAATGTGTGGTTTGGGCACTTGGGGASATGGGCTTGGCAGTGCTGGGTTAATGGTCGGACTCAGTAAATATCTCAGAGGTCTTTTCTAACATTAGTGATTCTTTGATTACAAATCTGTTATGCTTCTCCTTCGTCACAAGGGGATGCTGGGAAGACAGATTTGGGACAGCAGTGGTGGCTGCTGCTGGTGTCCTGCCCTGCCAGGCTGAAATATTTGCTTCCTCTGGCTCTGTGTGCTCCAGCAGAGCTTACAAACCCCTGGTCCCTCTTCAGTCTGTCAGCCAGGCTGCCCTCAAGGGAAAGGCTTGGAAACTTTGGGAATCTCCGTCCCAGCAGCCAGGAGTCCTGGTTTAGGGAAGTTTTGCAGGCTGCTAGTGAGTTCAAAGCAGCTCCCAGCTTCACAGGTTTGCAGCTGCTCAGGCTCCATGTATAAGTTCCCTTATCTGTCCCGTGTGCAAGTTAAATTTAGTTTGCTTTTGTTCCTAAAGTGAGTGGGAGCCAAACCCCAAGACCCTGGTTCATCAGAATATGAAAATTAATTTCCTAGTCTGGTTCTGCCTGAGGTCTTTTCCAGGTCCAACAAMCTGAGCACCACTCCAAGTCTATGTCTGTGTCAGATTAGAGTTACCCACCTCACACCAGTAACCCCCAGAGAAACCCCAACCTCCCCAAACCGACACTTCCTTCCTGTGGCCATTGGGGAGCTAACTGAGGACAAAGTTGAAAAGTTTGATTGGCAGCAGAAGAAATCGTGTTTATCATGTGCATCTGCTCCTSTGCCTCATGACAAACTGTACCCGTGAAAGTGGATTATTCAGAACTACTGAAATAAAGCTATTTCTTAGGCAGCACCTAATTAAATGTAGAACTCATCGCCACAAGACATCAGTGAGGCCAGTGAAATAGCAAGCCTCAGAGAAGGATGAATTATTAATGTTAATTGACCTTGTGAGGAGGAATATAAAATCTCATACCTCAGGCCTAAACTCTGGGATTATTGCAAGACTTGCAGGAAGGCAGATTACTCCACATCTAATTGCTTATAATGTTTCTTGGTGAGGAAAAGAGATTAATGTGTGTATTTCTGCTGGAACACCCTTTGGGGTTCTTTTTTTACTGATTTGACCTCTGAATTATGAGAGTTTTGAGACAAGCGGCTCAGAAAGCTGCCCCTGGTTAACATTAATGTGACTTTTTCTAAAGCACCCATCCAGCATCTGAGCTCACCTCTCCTGTGCTGGAGTGGGATTAAACCAGTGTTTTCACTGAAAAGCCATTGACAGCTGGAAGCTGCTCATTTTCCAGGAGCTTAAAGTGGGTCAGGTTAGCAATTAGAAGGACAATGCCAGTGCTACACACACACTGCTCAAAGGATGCTGAGTTTGCCTCACACACCATTTTCTGCCAATCTCCACAAGCCAAGTGGCTCCTCAGTGCCTTCTGTCCGTGGGTCACCATGGCAGCCCCCGAGAGGGAAAGCACAGGATTATCAGGGGATGAAGRGCATCAGGCATTGCAGAGAGCTTCAGCTGCCCCCTGCACCATCCCTCGGGCCAATTGCCAGGAACGGGGTGGCTTTGCCTGTCCCCTGCCCCCTGAAGAGGAATGTGCACTGCAGAGAGCTGTTTCTAAGCCATCACAGGACATTTGTAGAGCAGCTGTCTGAGACTGCTGCTGAATTTACCAGCTCCTCCAAATGACCACGAGCTGTCCTTGTTTGGATGGGATTTTGCTTTGCAAACGAGGCATTGAGCAGAACCAAAGCAGCTGCTTGGCATTAAACGTGTTCCAAGCATCCATGCCGTGCCTGTGTGACATCAGATACCCTTCTGTCGCAGACAGCCAGATATGGGCACAGCTGAATTACCAGGAACGATGGCAATGAAACTGGGCAAGTTTCAGTGGGCAAATTCCTTCCGTGGGCTGACAGGGGCAGTGGATGCACTGAGTGWGGAGCAGGAGGTGCTGCCCACCAGCTGAAGGAGCAGTGGCAGAGCTGTTTGAAGCTCTGAAGGAGGATGGAGGGCTCCAGAAGCACACAGAGAGCTGGAAGGAGGGGTTGGAAAAGCAGAGTGTTGCACATGGGGTGAGAGATGCCAGCCTGCATCGGGACTGCTTAGGCAGCACTCTGACCCGCTGAGAAGCTTTGGCTGATCATCAGAACCACTCCCCCTGCTTGCACAGCCCCTGCTTAACATCTGACACGTCTGCCAAAACCTGCAGGGCAGGGATAACTCTGTTGTTCTAAAAAGATCACAGAAATGTGGTTTTCTCAGGGCACARTCTTGCACAAAGCAGGAGCTGAGACATTGCTCCAGTGGACCTGACACATTGCTCGACCTGACCCCAGCCAAAGAATTCCTTTGTGTCTTAACAGGAGAAGCTGGTGGTAAAAATGAACTGAAGGCCTGGTTTAGTGAACTGTTTTCTTGCTTAAAAAACTGGTGCAGGGTTGTTATGGGCAAGGATTTTGGGCATTAGGGGGAAAAGTAGCTCCTAGCAGAATCTGGAGAGACACAGCTTCTGGGAAACCGTAGGACTGACAAAACCAAGAGTGTGTGAGCACTGTGAGAGGGGAACTGGCTGTGAGGATAGAGCTTGGCCACAAACACAGGGTCGTGCAGGGAAAGTGATTTAGGTGGGAGAGGACACCACCTCCAAATCAGAGAGCCTWGGAGAGGGTTGCTTCTGAGTGAGAGTAAAGCCTTTTTAAGCTGAAATTTCGCCCTATTTGCACCCAGCCATTGTTGCCAGCTGCTGCCAGCAGGACTTTCCCTGTYCCTGGCAYGGCAGGGCTGTGGCTGYCCTGCTGCCCCAGCATCCTGCTGGCCTGGATGCCCTGCTGTGTTGTCCCTGCTTGGAGCCAGCCCCTGCAGAGTCAGCACGTCACAGGGACAGCCTGCCTCTCMATGACAGAGCCCTGCCCCTCTCCAGCTCCCTTCCAAAAACCCCAGCTCGCTCCCGCTCGTCTGATTTAACAGTTGTTGATCTGCCTTGGTCTCTGGCCATGCTTGGCTGTGCTCAGCCATGTGGCTCTGAGAGATGCACAGATTAATTTGGCTACAGGCTAATTTTGGTATATTTTAGGTCAGGCAGAAGCGCAGACCTCGTTCTTCTCCCTCCTCTGCAGATGCCTACACAAAGACAGAGGTGATCTACACCTGGACCCTGGGCAAGGATAAATCCGTGGAGGTAGCCAAGGGTGGATCTCGCCTRAACCAGTACGACCTGCTGGGCCACGTTGTTGGGACAGAGATGGTTCGATCCAGCACAGGTATTTGTGGGGCCACGCTGTGGGCTGAGCCCATCCTGGATGAGATGGACCCACGGGCTTGGAATGCCACGATTTGGAATTATTATTGTAGAGGCAGCGMAGCGAGGACCACAGTGCTTCCTGAGCCAGGAGAATGTGGCTGGTGACATCTCCAGCAGTCACCAAGAGGCAGTAAAGAGTTTATTTTTCTGTGGTTTCCACTGAAAGAGCCTTATTGCCCASAGTCTTTAGAGGAACTGATCTCAAGCATCTAAAAATGATCTGCTGTGTGGAAAATTTGCCCCGCGCTGTCCAGCTGGTTTGTGGTGCTGTGGGTTCATTTGTCTTGGATTCCTTTCCAAGCCCTCAGGAAAGCGCTGCAGGCAGGGGAGGCGAAGGCAACATAATGTTCAGTGTGATTTTCRCTGCATCTGCTTGCACAAATATTATCATAACTAATAGAAGATTATCCCAAACAAATGTTTCCTCTGATTAATGACCAATATTAATCATCTTTCTCTCCCATCTGCTGCTCCTCCCTTCCCCTCTGAATCCAGGTACCGATAGCTTCTGTTATCTCATGTGTGTCTCTCATATTTCTTTTTTTTCCCCTTTATTTTTTCCCTCTGTATGCACCAGTAGTTCTCTCATTTGAGGATATTTCCTCTCTGGTGCACTTGATTTTAATAGTGTCTGTCTGTAACAACTCATTTCACCTCCCTTGGGGAAATGTGGGGAGCCCAGGGAACTAAATGTCATAATATCTGGCCCATCTCTCTGCTTAAGTTGTAGTAAAATGTACAGATGAATAACCTGAAGTGGTAAGAAAGCTGCTAAAGGCTCCTGTRTGTAATGATTTAGCAGAGCCACGCTCACAACATAAAGGCACAGTAATCCAACAAAATACCCAAAGCTTCCAGGGGAGGAATGRGACRTTGAGGGAAAATAGGGACAGCTGCYTCTTYRGTTCACAGGTCACACCTTTAACAACACGACTTGCCTGGATTTTTGAGATGGTTACAGCAAGGGAAGGTGGGGTATTTTCAGGATTGTCAGAGAAAATAAARTCCTGTGTCCTGAAATCCCATTAAAGCACTGTTAGGGTCTCTCTAGGCTTAAGGGAATTTACCCACAGCGTATGTGCCTGGGTTGAAGCAGGAAAGGGATGGGAGTGGGGTCAGGAGAGACTCCCAGGGGGCCCTTGTGCCTGAGGCAAAACAGGGAAGATTTTATTGCCAGGTTGATTTGCCTTTATSCCACACCCATTTTGTAGTGAATTAAAGAAGACTCAGGGGAGTGGTTTGAAAGGCCAAATGTGGTGTGAAAGTGCCCTGGGTCCTGCTGGGGCACACACCTGGCACAGCACAGTGGCTGCGAGTGCCAAGGGAGTGCTGCAAGTGCTGCGTCCCTGTGCCCTTCCTTCCCACTGAAACCCCACTGAAATCCCACTGAAATCCCACTGAAATCCCACTGAAATCCCACTGAAATCCCACTGAAAACCCACTGAAAACTGGGAACCCCTCCTTCTCACTGAAATCCCACTGACATCCTACTGACATCCCA